GATCCTGAGGATGAAACTCAAATACTTTGGCCAAGGAAGGACTCACTGGGGAAGACCCTAATGTTGGGAAAGATTGAGGGCAAAAGAAGAAGGGGACGACAGAGAATGAGGTGGCTGGATGGAGTCACTGAAGCAGTCGGTGTGAGCTTAAATGGACTCCAGAGGAAGGTAGAGGGCAGGAAGGCGGAATGTTGTCCATGGGCTCACGATTGGTCGGATACAGTTTCGCAATTAACAACAACAATCCTAACCATCATAGGTGCTTTTCTAAATAATCTTGTTCTCCAGTTCAAGGTGTTTAAAGTCCAGCATGGCATGGGGCCAGATTATCTACAGAACCACCTTCATCCCATTACATCAGTCCCTCCCACCAAATCAAGCAGGGAAGGTACAATGCGGATCCCATTTGTTAAAGAATTTCCACTGGCGGGATCCAGGAAGAGAGTCTTCTCTGCCATTGCCCCCCACCTCTGTGGAACACTCTTCCCCCAGAAGACAGCCCCCATTCTCCCGAGCTTCCATAAAGATATGAAAGCATGGCTTTGCACCCTTACTTGTGGAGCAGAGGGGGCAGGCAGTCGTGGGGCTAGTTAGCTATCCTGAACGCCCTTTCATGCTGCCTTTTAATTTCATGTTGAACATTCCTTGCCCCTTTTAAATTTTATATGCTGTTCTTATGCTTTTAATATTTTGATATAATATTTTGGTATAGGGTTTCCTAACTGAGCAGGGGGTTGAACTAGAATAGAATTCCCCAACCTTTTCGGCTTTGCAGTCCAGTAGGAGAGAAGGATGATTACATGAATGTGGTAGACAAGCACAAACGTGGCTCCATTTGTGCCAGTGGCGGGCATGTGCACCTGCGCTCACACAAATGGGGTGCGTGCGCTCACCCACCACTTCCACGGCCTGATTCCAAAAGATTCAAGATCCACTAGCTGGCCACAGCCCAGGGATTGGGGACCCCTGGTCTAAAAGACCTTCGAAGTCCCTTCCAGCTCTTATTCGGTTAGTACAGTTCCCACCCCATCCTTCCTACAGCATATTGTCCTAAAAATGCCATGTGCTCCATGAAGACATCAATTCATAGCTATTCAAAAGCAGCAAATTGCAACCTGAGGCTAAAAATGTCCTTACCCATTGAGAGGTTAACAATATCCCCCCTCCTTCTCCGGGTGCCCGATTGCTGCTGCCTGACCTCCACTGACACTTTCCGTGCTTTTGAAAAATCCACAGCCACATCTTGAGACGATCGAGTCCCCTGAAATAACAATGAAGGTCAAGTTCATAGAACCATGATGGCTGAAGGTGTACTGGACTGTAGACAGGGTACATGGGTTCAAGGAGTTGGGCAGCTGATCTCAGCTGTTGAGGTTTAAAAAGAATACTATGCAAGCTTCTAAAAAAACAATCCCTGCCAATCAAATTGGAATACAACTGCATTTTATATGTATTATGGGCTATTTTAACCAGGGCAAGAGGAGTCTAAGAGATGATAGCATTTTCCCAGCACCCAAGTTTTACTGATCGAGGGGGAGAATGGCTGGCAGGATTAAACACAATCTCTGTGTGCCATAATGTGATTTGTTTGGTTTGGGTTATTGTATTGTGTACATTAAACCATCCATTCTATGTTGCAAATCATGTCTTAGGAATCAGAATATTGTGTGATCCCAAGGTAAATAACTTCCAATATCACCAAACTATTGTGCACAACTATTTTTTCCCTCCTTGGTAGGTTTCCCTGAAGACGGAAATAGAAACAGCAAACATAAAAGAGTGATAAGCAGCTAATGATAAAAAATGAAACCTTATAAACAAAACTAGATGAAAGAACAATAAATATATTTCAACAACATTTAGTGGAAATAGTGAAACTTTATATTTCACTCCCCTTCATCATTTAAGCATCTTCAGATTTCAAGTAAAGTGTCTTTCATTATGACCTGAATTTACCTAACAATAACATTATTATGCTCCATTTATTTGGTAGAAATGTTCTCTCTCCATGTTGAAGGATGGAACTTCCACTTCTGCAACCATTTATATATATTTTAGAATGACATGTATACGTAATGTTACAACTGCAAAAAGCATTTGGAAGCAGAATTGGGGGACTTTCTCAGTAGTTTGGGGCGGGAAATGAGTAAGCCTTCCAGATTTCTTAAATTTCAGTTTTCCTTCCAGCCTGGTAGAATATTTGCCACTAGTGGGGGAAGATGGAAGTTGAATTCCACCAAAGATGGAGGGCCAACATTGCCGACTCCTCTTTAGCCCTATGAGCATGAGGGAGCCCCAATAGTGATGTGTTTGTAGGAGCACTGGGCTGTCTGCCCCATCAGGCCATGCCCCAATAAGGAGCATTTTGAGGCCATCAGAGAAAACAGCAAAATTCTTTCTTTATTGCTACTTCGGTACCATCAGAAGCTAATACAGGTAGTCCTTGAGTTATGACCACAATTGAGCCCCAAATTTATGTTCTTAAGTGAAACATTGGTTAAGTGGGTTTTGTCCCATTTTACGACTTTTCTTGCCACAGTTGTTAAGTGAAGCATTGCATTTGCTAAGTTAGTAACATGCTTGTTGAGTAAATCTGAATTCTGCACTGACTTTGCTTGTTGGAAGGTCGCCAAAGTGGATCATATGACCCCAGGATGCTTCAACCGTCATAAAGATGAACCAGTTGCCGAGCATCTGAGTTTTGATCATGTGACCATGGAGGTGCTACAACAGTCGTGATAAAAATGGTCATATCATTTTTTTTTCAGTGCCGTTGTAACTTTGAATAGTCACTAAAGGAACTGTTGTAAGTCTAGGACTACCTGTTATTGGACAAATTATATTTCCCATTTTGCTTTTTCTCGGCGTTCCAACTTTCGCAGCCTGTTTTGGAAATCTGAGGCTTCAAAAGATGAAAACTAGTCAAATAGGAAATAAAAGGGTCTTTTCCATTAATGGGGGATCACTTCTGTTACATTCTGACAGTCAAATGGTAGGCTCCACCAAGGTCCTCCATTCTGGTGGGAAAATACTCCAAGCCGATTGGCCGAGCTGTCTGACAGTTCCCTACAAAAAGGCTATCTGTCAGACAGGCTGGTGCTGGATTTCTAAATAGTTATCTTAAAAAAGCTGTTGTTTAACACTGAGTCTGTTTCATCCATTCACCCAATCTAACAACTTCTTTTCTCTTTATTCACATCAGGTGACTAAAGAGATGAACAGGTTTGCTTGCTGCTAGTTTATGCAGGCAATAGTAGCCGTTACCAGTGGTGGGATTCAGCCAGTTCGCACCACTTCGGGAGAACCGGCTGTTCACTTTCTGAGCAGTTTGGTGAACTGGTTGTTGGAAGAAGTCATTAGGGCAGAGAACCGGTTGTTCAATTATTTGAATCCCACCACTGGCCATTACTGCACGTTTTTAAACAAAAAGGTGAACAGACTGAGTAGAAGTCAACCATCCTTCAGCATTGGTCTCTTAATCCAGGACTGACAGGAGCCATCATTCCACCCTAAGAGAAGTGCCGTTAATTTCCTAGCCTGACATGGACATGTTCTAACCGTAGCATCTGAGGTCATAGGAAGAGAAAGAAGGGGGCCAGGTCTGAAGCTGCACCTTGCCTACTGCTTGCCCTGGAACA